ACGTGACTCTTACATATGCTGCCTGCATGAGACTCAGACTGAAAGACACTCACAGACTGGAAGTGTAGGGATGGAAAAGATAGTTCATGAAAATGGAAACGACAACAAAAAAATAAGTTAGGATAGTAATACTTATATCAGACAAAATAGACTTTAAAACAAAGGCTGTAAAAAGAGACAAAGAAGGACCCAGCAGTTCCACTTCTGGGCGCTTATCTGAAGAAAACAAAACATTAATTCAGAAAGATATATGCATCCCTATGTTCACTGCAACATTATTTAAAATAGCCAATGTATGGAAGCAACCTGGTGTCCATCAATAGGTGAATGGATAAAGAAGAATTTGTGTGTGGGGGGGGGGCACGCGCGCGCACCTTAGAATATTACTCAGCCATGAAAACAAATGAAAACTTGCTATTCGCAACAACATGGATATACCTAGAGGGCATTATGCTAAGTGAAATAAGTCAAAGAAGGACAAATACTTATGTGTGGAATCTAAAATACTAAACAACTGAACAAGCAAAACAGACTCATAGATACAGAAAAACTGATAGTTGCCCGAGGTGTAGATGGGGGTGGGGGGGATTGGGCAAAAAGGTGAAGGGGATGAAGAGGTACAAATTCCTAACATAAATGAGTGATGGGCATACAAACTACAGCATAGGGAATGCAGTCAATGATATCACAATAACTTTGTACAGTGACAGGTGGATAGTGGACTTTTTGTGGTGGTCACTTTGTAAGGTATAAAAATGTCAAATCTCACTATTTTGTACACCTGAAAATAATATAATATTGTATGTCAACTATACTTTAATTAGAAAGTGCTTTAGATTCCAGAATAAAAATTAGACATGAAGCCAAAAGGATAAAGTGTTTGTGACTTAGCTCCTTTGACCCATTTTGGTTCACATGTGGGTCACACGTTAGTGTAGCTACATATTTCTTTTTATTAGATTGATTCATCATGATGGTTTCTTTTTTTTCTCCCACCTCCCTTGATCTTACATGAAGTTTCTTCCATGTTATTACTTGCAAAGTTGCTTGGGAACTTTGGGTCATATATTCCTTAGTAGAGTTGGAATGCCACAAGGATGTGGACGGTGCCCACTCTCCGGCATCCTCCCTAGAGAGCTTAGTACAGGCCGCGATACAGGCCGGTCCGTCTGGATCCAGCTTTATGCAGAACGTTATTCAGGCTGATCTGTCTGGATCCAGCTTTATACAGAACGTTATACAGGTCGATCTGTCTGGATCCAGTTTTATACAGAATGTTATTCAGGCCAATCTGTCTGGATCCAGTTTTATACAGAATGTTATTCAGGCCAATCCGTCTGGATCCAGCTTTATACAGAACGTTATACAGGCCAATCCGTCTGGAGCCAGTCTTTGACCCTATTTGGTAAAGCAACATGAGACCATTTAGGAATGTATTTTCATTACCATCAAGCAAATGTTTTGAAATGGCAGGTTGAAGGATGTTCATGAAAATTTGGGAGATTCCTCTTTGCTTAGCATGTCACTCTGTTTTTGAGGAATGAAATGTTTGTTACTACTTCCTTCCCCTGCATTGTCTTGGTTTAATGAGTGGAACCTAGATAGGGAGACATTTGTGAGCTTGGCTCTCACCCATCAGGCTCTTTTCTCTCCTTTGTTCCCCACCCTCTTCTATGTAATTGACAAGGCAGTGAGGGAACCTGAGTTAGCAATGCAGCACTTCCCAGACCTCACTTTTGGGATTAGCCTAGCCCCCCCCCCCCCCCATAGAGACTGCATCTCAGTTGACAATCTCAAAAATTGGAAATGATCAAATAAGAGTTTACTTATGAACAATGGACATGGACAACAAACCTGGGGATGGGGAGGGGGGGGCGGGGGGAATCAGTGGGGGAAAAAGGAGAAACATCCATAACAAAAATAAATTAATTAATTAAATTTAAAAAAAAAAAAAAAGTAAAACCTGCCAGAAAAATCAACATGCTCATCAGAGGTAATTTATTAACACGACTTCTCAACTGCAGTACTGTCTCGTTCTGCCATGACTCACGGGGTGTAGACTGCAGTTTTTCTTCCTCTACCTCCTATGGAGATGGCAGTCAACATTTGGTTTAGAAGACAGTTTTACAGATGTTTGCTTTAAAACGTGTTCAGTGTTTAAGGAGCTCTTTCTGGATGGTGTTGCTAACCTTTTTCTAGCTGAATAATCATTTTTTCTTACTAACTTATATCAGTAAATTTATTCACAAGAAAAAGAAACATTACCTATCTGTAATAAACATCCTTGCGAGTAGTCGCCTTCACTGGAACAGTGCACTTTTATGGAGATTATTCTATTTTCAGGGTTGCTGACCTTTTGCCTCCTTACTGGTTGCCATAGTGATGATCTGAGCTCTGCATAGGAGAGCTTTACTAAAATGAGGAAATCAATAAGCTTTTTAACTGTAATGTTTATATTGATAGTTCCGGATAACATATATCAAAATAAAATTTAGCCATGTAAATGTATCCAATCGTGAAATTTTATTTCAAAAAAATATGTTTAAATAGATGTGTATCTAAATTGCAAGTGATTAAGTATGTTCTGTGGCTTTCTTAGAATACTTCTGTGAGCACATAAAAATATAGATAAAATTTGAAATGTCAGTTTGAAAGATCAATGTGAAATGGATAATAAAACTCTTTCATAAACAAACTTCAGAAGTGGCAAGTACTATGGTTAATGATTCTAAAGCAAAGTCAAGTTAGAGAACTCTTTTACAGCTTGTCATGAGAACACTCAAGGCCAAGGTCTCCTCATGTGCACCTGTACAACTTCTAATGATTTCAGAGGAAGCCTGAAGCACTCAGGAGAAGGCAAGTTGGGGATCTGCCAAAATGCAGGAGGCAAAGCGGAAGAGCGTGGATTATGTTTGTTTCCAAAGTTCATTTAACAGCTTTAACTCTTTTACTCATTGGTTATAGATAGACTACTATTGTCAGGATTTAGTGAAACTTCTGTGAACACAATTTTGAGGAATTTGATTATTTTTCCTTTAGAATTAAATAATTATTTTTAAATATATTAATATGTTCTGGTTGAAATTGTAAGTAGCGTGTAAGTACATTTCATATAACTCTTTGCAAAGAAGGAAGTCTGAGAAGGGTCTGAATTCACAAGATCCATTATCATTATAATTTGTCTGTAAGGTGCAGGTGTTATGCTTTTGTTTGCTGTTCTTGTGTCTAACTAACCCTCTCCCTGGCCCAGGAACAATCAGCGGGGGATGAGGATGGGGTGGGGGTGGGGGTGGAGCCTGCCTAGGCCCAAAGCTCATAGCCACATATAACCTGCTTCTCTCTCTCCCAATCCTGCATTTTTCTTCTCTCCTTGATGTTTGAGAACCTAAAATTAGGTTAAGACTCCAGAATTTTGTGTCCATACTCTATCAAATATAACCCAAGATTTATTAAAAACAAAAATCAACATCCCCCTGACGGTAGGACTAGCTAGGGGATAAAATTAAATGGATACTGAGGCTGTCGGTAGTGAATGAAAAAAATGAACTATGTGCTTATTTCAAGTGTCAAAATAACTTCTTTGAAAAACGCAGGAAATATCTGACATCATAGGCTTTTCACATATCACTGTTTTTTTTTTTCTAAATTAAAAAGATTTCTTAAATGTAGGATGAACTTTAAAACATTTGGCTATATGTGTTTTAAAATTGGAGTGACAAATTTAATTATATCCTTATGTTATTTGGTTTCAATGATCCTATTTATTTTTCTAAAACTAAAAATCTTATCCTTTTCTTATTAAGAACAAACTAGTAAAACTTGTAGTGATTCTACTATTCAAGATCTATTTCTTGACCATCTACCGCTGTAAAAATGGGGCATTGTTGGAAACAAAGCAGACAAAGTTCTTCCCCTCACGAAGCATCCTTTCTCTGGAGGAAATCAGATAATATAGATAAATGAATATATGATGTGCCAGGTGGTGATAAGATCCAGGAATTAAAATAAAACAGGAAAAGGGTATAGAGAGTGAATGGGGAATGAGAAGGAAGGACTATTTTAGAGAGGGTTGTCAGCCAAGACCATCATTTCCTGCCAGGATTATTTCATTAAGTTTCTCATTTGTCTCTTCGCTTTTACTCTTATGCTCCTAGTGACTTCACATAGCAGCCACGTGGAATATAAGTTGGATCATATTTCATTTGCCTGCTCAAAATCCTGCAACAGCTTCTACTTAGAATAAAATTCACAATCCTTTTAGCCTACAAGATCCCACACGATCTTTCTCTTTTTTACTTCCCTGACCCCGTTTTCTTGTACCCGTCTCCTCGTTTACTGGAGGCCTAGGCTGTTCCTGAACAGGCCAGCAGGTCTCTGTCTCAGGGCACCTTTCTCTCGCTGTCCCTCTGCAGGAACATGCTTCCCATTGTTGCTCCCTGACGCCTCCCGGATCCACCTTTCCTGACCACACTATCTAAAGTAGCATCGGCCATCACTCTGTCTCTTCCGCTTCCTTTGTCTTCAGAGCACTTATCTCCTCTTGCTGGGTGCGTGAGAACATAAGCATCATATGAGCAAGGATTTGGCCTCCCTCGCCACCATATTTCCACGTCTGGAATGGTGGTAACATATTGCAAAAGCCTAGTAATTACTTGTGGCATGAATAAATGAATGTGCTCTAAGGATGGACTGCTAAAATATGGGGAGAAATGAGTAGAAAAAGGCCAAATGCTTGGAGGTCATAAAGAGGATCCCCTGTGTAGGTGCTTTCTGTGATCCTAACTCTGTGTCCATGGTCACCTGGCATACCCATTGCTAGTTGCCTCTTGACCTCAGCTCCCTTTCCTCATCTTTGCTTACAACACAGAGTCTTTGCCAACTAACGTAAGTATACATGGTGTAGCTACATGTTGTAGATGTGAAATTTTGGTGGTTGCATTTCTAATTCTAAAATATTTTAAATGGGCTGATACATGGTCATGTTCTTTTTTTAACTGCAGCATCACCAAATGCCCCCAAACTCGGACCCACGGAGCTGACCGTTGTGATCAGTGTGCCAGTTTGCCTCCTGTCTGTAGTGGCAGCGCTGAGCATTTGGGCATGCCAAGGTCGACAGTGCACAAACAGAAAGAAAAGGAGACAGAATGTGGAGGAGGCCCTCTCTGAATGCAATCTGGTAAATGCTGGGAAAACTCTGAAGGACCTGATTTATGATGTGACCGCCTCTGGATCCGGATCCGGTATGTGCCCATGGTCCATTTTCAGTAAGGAAACTCTTATTTAAAGATAAATGAAAACAGCCCTGGTCAGGTGGCTAAGTTAGTTGAGCATCATGCCATATACCAACAGGGTTCAAAAGGTTTCAGGTTCAGTTCCCAGTCAGGGCGCATATGGGAGGCAACCAATCAATGTTTCTCTCTCACATCAATGTTTCTCTCTCTCTCTCTCTCTCTCTCTCTCTGCTTTATAAACTCAATAAAAACATATCCTCGGGTGATGATTTAAACAATAAAGAAAGAAATAAAAACAATTTTTAACAAAAAAGGACCCTAATAGGTATTCCATCATTTCAAATGCTTGATATGATACATGGTAAATTCTGGTATAGAAGCTGGTTTTAGGATTTGATAAAGAGAAAAACCATCATGGCCTGAAGAACGAAGTCCTTTCAGTCGGCTTCTGTGCCTTTAGGTATTCAGATTCTCTCTCTGACATTCCTTCAGCATTCGCGAAGCATGAAAGAGTCTCTTTGCTCTCCCCTCTCCTCTATTACGATTAGGAATCATCATTGTTGCTCTCCTGGTGATGTTTAATGGGCACAGAAGAGTAACTGTATTGAAGGAGTTGAGTTCTGAGGACGATAACTCAGTTACGCAAAGTAATGTTCTTGGAGCACTTTGCTTGCGGTTATGCAGGTCTTCCGAATCTGCAGGCACCCCTAGTGTGGAGCTGACCTGAAATTAATCAAAATTATGTTCTTTAAAAAGAAAGGAGTATGTTCTTAAAGCACAGACTCGAACGGTGAAAGGGAAGAGCACAGCGTTGCTGCTAAGGCTCTGTGAGCATCTCTTCCTCTCTGCCGGAACTCCAGAACCCGCGGAGCAACCCCGAGTACCATGCTGTGTTATGGCCTAAATGAGCCTTTCTCATAGCACAACGTGTCCGAGGGCTTTTTGGGTTTCTGGTGACGGAACAGAGTTTCCCCTGTCACGACAAACTCCTAAATGGCAGCAGGCTCCCTGCTTTCATGGATACTTCCAGAAATCCTGGCAGCGCGTGGCATTGCAGAAATGGGAACTGGGGTGGGCCTAGGTGAGCCGCCTCACATGCCCTGCACCCCCTTGCTTTGGACGGATCGTCAAGATGATGACCCCGGAGAGATTTTAAGGAGCACCGCATGGCCTTCAGGAGCACCCGCGCAGGCACGATGGACAGGGGTCGACCACAGAGGGGCATAGCATCTGTGTGCGCTTTCATATGTAACGTGATGCAGCTGTGGACTCACCAAAGCGTCCAGGAAAGAGAGGCCCGATCATGTCGCCCAGCGAGCCCAGATTGCTGACTGCTTCTGGAGGCAAGGTGCCTGCTGTCCTGCCGACCAAAGGCTCAGTGTTCACACCTCCCTGCACAGATCACGTGGCATGTGTCCAGGGGAGGAGTGTTGGAAAAAGTCTCCAAACTGCAAACTTTATAAAATTATTGGCTAGAAAGCTGACATTCTTTCTTTAACAGTAAAACTTGTTCAGGTTCACCACTTTTTTTTTCCTTGAGTATTACATTTTGGGGACCACTGTGCCCTGATTGTTGAGCGCTGGCCACCATCTAGGCACAGAACACGTGCACAGGGAGCTCTGATTAGTGGCGAGGTCCTTGAAACCTTCTGCACTTTCTTCATGAACTTCAAGTGATTAAATAACCATCTTCTTAATTACCACCAAGGCATTCCAGTTGATCCGTGTTAGGCTGAACTGTGTATTTTGGAACAACTCTTTGAATATGTTTAATATGACCAAGGATTTTCCTTTCAAATACACATAATAGAGATTTTATAACTGGAGACTGTATATTTAGTTTAAGAAAAGTAGTTCTGAGCCAGGACATAAAATTAAAAATTAATGTTAAGTTTTTTGCTCTTTTGGTACATCTTTAAACCCAAGTCTGGAATTTATTGACTGCTGGACTCTCTCCTCCTTAGATTATTCTAAGATTTCTCTTAAAAAGAAAGCTGTAAATGTACCCATGCATGGATGACTTTTTTAACGAGCAATTTGAAAGAGTTTTAGGCACTTTTTCCCGAAGTCGGTGCGTGTGCTTGGCAGTGACCACTGGCGAAAAGTCGGTGATGGCAGCCCTGCCTTGCTAAGCAGAGATGGGTCTCTCTGCAGCAGGGCTTCTGCCACAAAAGCTCAGCCCCCCCGGGAGGGAATCAGCTGGTTCTGCTTCCCCTCCGCTTCTCTTAATTGACCAGTGACATTAAATGAGAGGCACTTTGTCAAATGTTAAGAAACAAAAACTGTGAAGCTTATCTTTGACCTGGTCAGGGACACATTTCAAAGAGAGATAATGTTTGCGAGAGAGGAAAATGGACTGATGTTTTTCTGGGCTGTCTCTGAGAAGAGAATGGGCAGGTTGCTGCTTTTCTCTCATAGCAGAACACTTCTGACGGACGGTGACGTTAGGAAAGGTGCTGTTCCAGCAGATAGGCCTCAGTGTCTACAACCCCTCTGAAAAAAGAACAAGATGAAACTACAAGGAAAAGCAATGTCCGTGTATCTTCAAAAGAAATCTCCAAGGGTATAACACAAGAACTAGATTATTTTGGGTGGTTGCTTTGAAAGCTACTGAGGCAACTTTCATGGTACCTTAGGTAATGCCGTCTGACTTTGTCCCTGGTGTGTGGCACGGATCGTGCGCCTGATCAATTGCACTTTGAAAACATTGGCTTATCTAGTTCTCTAGCCAAATAGTGTTGCATTGTTGTTGGTAGTGGATGTTGGTGGGGATGTCTTTGTGAGTGTGTGTGTGCAAGCCAGAGGAGGGAGGAGAGAGACTGAGGTTGAGATTTGGCCTAAAAATTGTTAGTGCAACTTTTAGTGTGTGGTCAAGTGGTAAAATTGACTGTAGCCTACAAAAATAGCCCATCTAATTTGCTGCTGCATTCCCTACGGCTGGAATGCATCATATCCATTAAATGGTGAGAGAGCAAGAGTTTGGACTGAAGACCAGTGTTTTAGTTGTGGGTCTGCATTCCATCAGCAGCGTGTTGTTGGGCCAGTCCATGATTACTGTGGGCCCCCAATATTCTCCTCCCCAAAATGATAAAGTTGAATCAGATGATCTAAGAACTTTCTGGCTGTGAGGCTTTGTGACTGATTATTGAGACCCGTAATAGCAGATTTACAGTCTGTGCTTATTTACTCATAGTGGGTGGTTCTCATGTTGATGAGAACATGAATAAACCTTGACTCATTTCAGGAGCAGAGGTGAGTTCGATCGGAGTAGTTGCTATGAGGGTTTCCCAGCTATCAAGTACAAGGACAAATAAGCATGACTTGCCAGAACAAATTATACTGGAACCTCTTAACTATTTTCCTCTAATTGTAAGAGTCATAAATGCCCACTGTAGAAATTAAGAAAAGGTTCACAATTTGAAAGAAGCCTATCAAATTCACCTTGATTCTACTGAATAGAGCATTTGGCATATTTCCTGTTCAGTCTTTTTTTTCTGTGCATATTTTGAAGAGCTAGGTACACTTATGTAGATGGATAGAATTAACTTTGCTATTTTTATATAGCATAGCAAAAGTATTTTCTTGTATCATTAAGAAATATTTATTCATAAGCAGCATCATTATTATTGGCTCTAAGTCATCTAACCTGAGACATACTATTAAGGACTAATCATTGTTGAGTACGTAATATGCTAGATACTGTGCTAAGTGCTTAGCATGCTTGTTAATTCTCATAGGATCCCTATGAAATACGTAATATTATTATCTCCTGTTTTTCAGACAAGGAAGCCAAAGCTCAGAAAAGTTCAATAACTTGCCCATGGTTACCATGTGGCACAGCTGACATTTGAAGCAGGTTTTTCAATCTCTGCACTGTATTTAACAGTTTTCTATTATCAGACACTCTTTCTTATTTTTCCTATAAAAAATAATATATTTAACATTTGTGACAATTCTTTTGCATTTACATTAAATCTTTAGGATAGAATTATAGAGGTAGAATTATTGATTCAAAGACTAAATATTTTACATGTGCTCAGAATAAATTTTTTTATTTCACAGAAAATATCGATTTGATATTTTCTATGACTGTACCTTGCTTTTAGTATAACACCATTATCTCACTTGATTGTTCAGTTTGATTCTTCACTTTCCAATTTTAATTTTTTTTTAATGCTCAAAAGAATTCTACTGGGTTTCCAGTTTTACCAGGAACCATGTATTTTATTTTAAAGGCTAACAGCATTTTTTATACTTTTGTGTATTTAATAATCTCACTGGCTTGAATGTACGAATTAGGAAGATCGATGACAATTGTAGAGAATCCACTATCTGCAGCAGCAGGCTGTGTTCAAGAAATTTTTATTTGTGAATATGGGAAGAGACATTCATGTTATGAATCTGAAATATTTTTTTAGTATACTTTAACATTAAATTAAAGTTTGGGTCCTGCCAGTGTGGCTCAGTGATTGAGCGTCAACCCATGCACCAAGAGGTCGCCCAGGACACATGCCCAGGTTGTGGGCCCAAACCCCAGTGGGGGGCACGCAGGAGGCAGCCAGTCGATGTTCTCTCTCATCAATGTTTCTATCTCTCTCTCTCCCTCTCAATTCCTCTCTCTCTAAAATCAACAAAGGAAAAAAAAGTTTGGTATAAAGGTGCTTATTTCTTCAAAATTAATAAAATTAGTAAAGTGCTTAAATGTGGGCTTTTTTGTGTGAAACTAACAGTCATCCCGACAGTTCTTTTCTGGCACTGACTATTTTTAATCATCCATTCCATCTCTTCCTTGGCTAGGTTTACCTCTGTTGGTTCAAAGAACAATTGCCAGGACGATTGTCCTTCAGGAGATAGTAGGAAAAGGCAGATTCGGTGAGGTCTGGCATGGAAGATGGTGTGGGGAAGATGTGGCTGTGAAAATATTCTCCTCCAGAGATGAACGATCCTGGTTTCGCGAGGCAGAAATTTATCAGACCGTTATGCTGAGACACGAGAACGTCCTTGGTTTCATTGCTGCTGACAACAAAGGTATTTTCAATCTAATTGGTTTCAGCAAATAAAATGTTATGTCTACTGTCACATGAGAGTAAATCACCTTTTTGTTTTGATAAAGGCTACATAAAAGTCTAATTTCTTTATTGAGAAAAGGAAAATCCTTTCCTCTTCTCCACAGATAAATGTACATAGCCACACAATCAATAAGGCAGGGCAAACCTGTGATATGAAATCATGATGACACTGTAACTAGGTTGATTATACAAAATATTGGATGGCTGCAATCAGATCAAACACTTCAGCTGCAATAGAGTCCTGGGAGCATCCTGCCATGTGGGTTTTATTCCTTTGTTTGATGGGTGTCAAAGAGATGAAGGGGCATCTTGGTGATGGGGGAAAGGGTATTGTTTTGGGTGTTCAGGAATGCCACTGGGAGTTTTCAGTAGCAGCTCTTAACTAATCAGGATAGAAATATTTCAGTAGTTCAGTAATCGATACAAATGTATCAGTGAATGCTAACTGAATATTCAACTTTCCTAGGACTGTGCTTTTCTTCTGTACAACAGGCTTAAGCTCTCTGTGAATATTATGGGAATGGTGGCAAGCAAAACAATTTTAGAAAAATTCTCTATTAACGTACTCTGAGTATGATTTATATCTTGAGGTTTAACATTAACAGCCCCAAACAGCATTACCTTTTTAGTTTTGTGGAACAAGACAGAGCATCAACTTTCTGGCATTTAAATAATATTTATTAAATATTGTATATATCCCCAAGTAATCAGAGACTGGATATAAAGTTTGTGGATTACCTATGCTCTGTTTTATTTTTTGTTTTTGCATAGCTTTTACTTATTTAATTACTGTGCATTAGTTTCCTTAAAGTGAAACAGGGAGTAAAAGTGAGAAAATGTCCAGTTCATTGTTTTTCACTCGAATTAGTAATACATAAAGAACTTTGAGAGGGAGGGATTGTAACCTCTAGCTTTAAAAAAAAAATTATCTGTAGATGTCAGGCACCCACCAATACCTTTGAAAATGAAAAATCTATGATTATTTTTATCTAATATAATCTGGATTATGACAGTATTCATTATTAATTAGATAAGAAAAGAGAAGCTTGGTTATTGTGCATTTTGACCATGATTACATTTGCGGATGATTTATCTTATCTGATTTGCTAGAGAGAAACTAAGTAAAGCCAAGGTGAGCTTCAAAAAAGATTCTTTCCAAATTCTTAACTACGTATTTTTTGAAAATATCTCCAGCCTATTGAAAATGAAACAGTTCTTATTAGACTCTTAAGAACTTCTTTCCTTCCTAATGTTGAACTAAACTACCTGCTGGTTAGATTAATTAGCAATGTGGTGAAAGCTTGATGGGCTAATTCAGTTATGATGTTTATTGGATTATGAAACAATATGCATTTGAAAGATCATTCTTGATTTTCTCTTCTTCGGTTCCTGGTCTACCTCTGTCAATGGCTTACTTGTCGGTGGCTTTGTGCCTGATTCCAAATGGTCTCCAACATCACATTTTGCATTTTTGTCTTTTGTAACACTCACAGTTTCACTTTTTAATCAACTGTCTGACAAAGACATTGATGTGAGAAGGCAAAGATAGCCACTGGTGTTAAGCTGAGAGAGAGGTGTAAGGGTTGGTTTTATATGATGTCAGCTTATTAGTGAACTTTATCGTGTTATGCTGATTTTTTCATTGCTAGGAAATGTTATCACTAGTTGATTTAGAAATTGGTTTGGATAATGAGGAGCTCTTGTACATAAAACTTTTCTAGGTAGAAAAAGTCCTTAGCAAATGTTCAGAATAGTTCTGTTTCTTTGAGCATCAGACCTGGTCAGGAGGGCCCAGGGCTATTGTAGATACTTTATCCCAAAAGCTAAAGCTAACTCTAGGGACTCTAATACCTGGAGAAGTTTTAGGCGAATTTTTCTTCTGCTTAAACTCTCTTATAAGCTCGGTTAGCTTTTGGTTAAATGGGATGGATTATTTGAAAATGTCTAGTTATTGTGTTTGGCGCTTAATGTCAGTTTTGGGGAAAATCATCAACTTCATATTTGAAAAGTGAATAACATGAACAATCTTAGAATGTCAGAGCTCCTATGACAGTGAGACTTCTTCATGTGAATTTGTTAGATTTCTGTTTTTTCGTTGGTACAATCTTTCTTAAAACCTCCAGAGTAATTTATAACACAACACTGAGCCTAAATGTGTCTCTGAGTGGCTTTTCCTATAATGTGGTTGCTATTGCGGGCAAGTATTGACACAGAGAGAATAAGACAGGAGTTGTTCAGTTAGAATCGCTGCTTCCCAGCTTCCTATTGCTATGGAGGCCACATACAACAGGCTGTAATGGAGCAACATCTTCAGGAACTCCATGAGAATTTTTACTTTGCTAACTCCAACTGGCAGCATTATCCATGAAGGAATTCACTTTGTTACCAATACAGATGTACGTTAAACACTGACATTTGTTCAAAGCCTTTGGCTTCTTTCTCAACATATATTTACAGCGACACCTTTTTTCCCTGTTAGATAATGGAACTTGGACTCAACTTTGGCTTGTGTTGGAGTATCACGAACAGGGCTCCTTATACGATTATTTGAATAGGAACATAGTGACCGTGGCTGGGATGACCAAACTGGCACTTTCAGTGGCTAGCGGTCTGGCCCACCTTCATATGGAGATTGTTGGCACACAAGGTACGTATTTTCTTTCTCATTTTTCTCTCCTGAAATACGAAGGTAGGAGCACTAAGTTGTATTTTAGTGTTTAGTTACATTTTGGTTTATTACCATTATCAAATGCAAAGAAACACTGAAGGTACTTTATTAAGCTGAAGAGTTTGTCTGGCTAGAGCCAGCTCTCATCTGCATACTTGTCCTTTTGTATATCATCCATAATACTATTTTTATTTCTGGAGACTCCATCTTTGCCATTTAGCATACCTGGGGGATCTTGCTTTGGTGGCAAGTGCTTTGTATCATAAAGTATCATAAAATATTCATATATCATAAAATATGAATCATTTAAATGTTTAACTTTGATAATTAAAATAATTGCTCTCTAAGTCTTGGAGAGCATTATGCTAAGCAAAATAAGCCAATCAGAGAAAGACAAATACCACATGATCTCACTTATTTTTGGAATATAATGAACAAAATAAGCTGATGAACAAAATAGACCCAGAGACATAGAAAGGAGTACGGTTCAGACTGACAAACCTCAGAGGAGGGGGTGGGGGGGATAGATGAGATAAACCAAAGAACTTATATGCGTAACCAGTAGACATAGACGAAATGCTGGGTTGGGGGGAGGGCGGGATGGGGAGGAGGGTGTCTGGGGGAGGGAAGGAGAAACATTTGTAACAAAAATAAATTAATAAAAATTGAGAAAAAAAGATATTGGTGATATAAAATAATAATAATTGGAAAGGGAAATGTGATCTTGAAAAAAATTCTATATATCATGTACTTGAAGCCAAATAATACCCATTATCTTTTCTATTTATTGAGTTAATAGAGAATTGGCTCTAGAAAGTCATTAGTATAGTCAGAGTAGTGGTTCTCAAATTTGGATTCATGATCCTTTTAATCTCTTAAAAATTATTAGGACCCCCAAAAGTTTTTTTTGTGTGTGTGTGAATTATATCTATTAATATTTACTAAGTTAAGACTAAAATTGAGAAATTTAAAAATACCAATTTATTTATTTAGTATTTAACCAATTAAATATTAACATAAATAACGTAATTTAAAAATTTTTACACAATTTTTTTGTAATGCAAAAAACAGTCTAGTAAAAATTATGTATTGTTTCACATTTTTGAAAATCTATTTAATGCCTGGATTTTCATACCTGTCCTTTATTTAATCTGTTCCAATACATTGTTTTGGCTGAAGTGTGTGAAGAGAAGGTGATATCACACCGACATGCTGTTGAAGAAGAGCCTCAAAGACCCCAGAGATCTTTGGGCCACACTGGAGAACAGCTCATCTCGGGTCGTAGAAGTTTGAAACTTGTCTTATAAGAGAATACTTGCTGTGTTTCTGTGTGTGTACATAGCAATGCTAATTCTTTCCCTTTTCATCCAGCAAACATATTTTAGTGGCCACTCAGTGTTATCTAGTGATCTAAGCATTGAAGGCACTGTGATTACTAAGATGGTCTCTGCCCTTATGCAGTTCATAGTCTAGTTGGGAGAGACAGATAATTAAACACGTGTGTGAATAAACAAGACAATTTAGATAGTGATAAGAGCTATACAGAAGGTAAAATGGGATACTCTGATGGAGAATGACTTGGGATGAAGAATATGTGGTCAGAGAAGACCTCTTTCAGGTGACATTTGGGCCAAGTCTTCAGAATAATTCCTTTTTGGAGAAATTCAATCTTCAGTAACAAAAAAGGTGAATATGCTATTCCTTGTGTGTTACAGGTAAACCTGCTATTGCTCATCGAGATATAAAATCAAAGAACATCTTAGTGAAAAAATGTGAAACGTGTGCCATCGCGGACTTCGGATTAGCTGTGAAGCATGATTCCATACTGAACACTATCGACATACCTCAGAATCCTAAAGTGGGAACCAAAAGGTAAGCTAATTTCCTTTGGTAGCAACCTAAGACTAAGTCTGTCCCATAAACATGAATGCCTGGGATGTGCGTAGGGAGGAAGGCAGCAGGTCCAGATGGGAAATATCCTCAGCCCAAGAAAGCAAAAAGTCTTCTCGGGGTCACTCAGAAATGAGTGGCACGAGGGTTATGAAGCAAGGAGCATTGGCATTCTGGTCATATGGAAAGTAACCATTTGGCCAGTGGAGGGGATCAGTGAAGGAGATGGTGGTATATTGTTTTTAGTATGCCACATTCTGAGAACACATTTTCCTATAGCGAGGAAGAAAAAGATGTCAGCAGTATACAGCTCCTCCAAAGCCTTTACACCTCCTAAAGAACCGAAGCTCAGAGCCAGTTCTGTATGCTCAGACGCAGACTCAGCAAGTGGACTAAAGAGGGGAGGGACTGTATCTAACACAAACGCATATGCGCTCTTGTGTTCTCTCAGTATTTGAAAATGGTATGCAACAACTTACGTATTTACCTGCAGTTGCATTATCCTTACGTCTCCCAAATTGATGTGTATTAAGATAATAAGAGTTTGGACACAGTCCCCACTTTTAAGGAACAGAATCTCTGAAAGTTAAGAACAAGATGATGGAACAAGCATAGCACACACACATCAAGACAGGCCCATTAGTGACAAGTGTCTGGTGTCTTCTGGTCATGGTCAGCCCATGGCCCTGAGGCCGCATGCTTCCATCTTCTTTTATTTGTGTTTCAGGAGCTGTGCCACTTTGGCATAATTACAGGTTTCTTGACCTTGAAATGAGAAACAACCAAAACATTTCCTGTAGATTTTTTAAGGCCCTCGAGAGTAGAGGATTTCTAAGCTGGCACAGTTGGCCTCCAGTCAATGTTTGACAGTCCAGGCCAGTCCCTCTGAGTCCTTCACTTAGTTCCAGGAGACTTTAATGAAGCCGCAGAAACACTCAGGACAGTTTATCCACACTGGGCAGCCTTTCCTTTTCTTTTCCTTATAAAAAAACAAGTTTTGACTTGCCCATCTGACTGACCCCACATGAGGGACCCTCAGGGAAGCCTTGGATGCCAAATTTTTAGGGGAGCTAAATTTTTTAAATGGGGTTGGGAGTGTGTTACACCCTCACCTGAATATTCTGAAAAAGTCTCAAAATCTTCCTAGGTCCCATGAACTGTATATGACTTTGATTTAGTCCTATTAAAACAAGACTGTAATTTTCTTGGTTAAATATATATATTTCTTGGAGCCAGTGCATAATAAAATTGTTCATTCAGAACAGATATTTGTGGAATGCTGCTCAGCACTGTGTTGGAGTCCTGGGCCCACCATGAATAAAACATACTCTTTGCCCTCAAGGAGCTTTCCTTGGCCACGAGCTACTGATGGAAATTGAGCTTCATCTCTCCTATTGCGTGTTTTGCTTACCGAATCCCTTCTGGCGTGTGCCTTCCACGTATTTGGCTCTTGGTGCATATGCTTTATTACTGAGAGGGATGACCTCTAGTTCTATTTAAAATATTTTGAAAGTTATGGTTGACTCAATAACTGTATTGTTTAATTTTATTCTAGTACAGCACAGTGGTTCATATCCACCTGTAAAATTGATGTTCGCTATCTTAACTTATATTTTGTGTCAGGATTTATTAAGATTGTGGTATAGTGGGTTGCTATAAAGTCATACACAGAATCTGAAATGTGCATGTTTTGAAGGTATATGGCCCCTGAAATGCTTGATGATACAATGAATGTGAATATCTTTGAGTCCTTCAAACGAGCTGACATCTATTCTGTTGGCCTGGTTTACTGGGAAATAGCCCGAAGGTGTTCAGTTGGAGGTAAGATAGTGGACATTTTTGTGTCTGCCTTTCTTTGATGTTCTGAATACAAGATATTATGTGCTTTTTTCTAAGCACTATATTGAATCATTTCTTAATAGTTAAGAGAATACCTTTTGACATACATTTTAAGTGGCAAAAATGGAGTGTCCTGCATATAATGGAGATTTTATATTGTGATTACTGCCTAGGTGAGGGTGACCTTCTCCAGATAATTCTGATTTCCATAATGATACTTGGCAAAGCACTTGAAAATTTTACTTGAGTTTTGTTTGCAGTTAGCTGGAGCCCCATTTCATACCAGAAATGAAATCCAAAGAAGTGAAATGGCTTGCCAACCCCACAGGATGTGAGCTGAAGTCTTCTGGTTCTCAGACTTTTCCTATTTTCTTTCCTGTGATGAGAAATGTGTGGGGGATAAAGGAGAGTTCGAAGGTGGGCAAAGACTAAGTTTCTGACTCTATTGCTCCTAGCAGTTTAGAGATGAATAATGAGAGAAAGAATTTGAGAGAATGAAACCCTACAAATGCAGTCTAATGGAAATGTTTCACCCATGGAGAAAAGTAAATAAGGAATTAAATGGTTTAGAGTTTCCTCTTTCAAGTGAGACTGACTTAGGGCTAAGCTTTGGTTTAGCAACTTTCTGAACATCTGACCTTAGGCAAGTTACTTGGTCTCATTTTCCTCATCTGTAAAATGAAGAGATGATAAAACGGATCCAGCTGGCTTTGAGGATTTAATGGATTGATTCAATGAATTCACCTGAAGCTTTTAGTTCAGAGTATGCTCATAGGTAAACATTCAAAGGAAAAGTGGTCCTTATTCAACCCCTGCCACTCCTTGCGTTTTGTCTTGATCTCATTTTTCTTTTACATCAATCTCATTTTTTTTTAAATCAAAAAACGTACAAGTTAAAATGTATTTGAATGAGAAAACATACTTTCCCTCTTTATCCATAGATTAGATAATAAAACTGTCAGGAAGATGAAACTATTTCTAGAAGCAGTACAGATATGGTGGTGTAGGACTTGGACACTGGAATCCTCGAGCCTGGGATTGAGTTCCAGATCTGCCACTAATAGCTGTGTGACCTTCAGCAAGTTCATGACTATCTCTGTGCCTCATTTTCCTTGTTCTGTAAAATAGGGATATTGTGGTACCTTCTTTAGGCAATGATTTTGAAGAATGATTAGTTAAAACATCTGAAGGGCTTAGAAGAGTGCTTGGTAAACAGCAAAATTCAAACGCATTTGTCATATTTTTTTAAATGTTGTATTGATATTTGTCTAGATTTGCTTTTTGGATTTTGTCCTTACATTTTCTTCAACTGTAGGAATAGTAATGTAATTAACATGATTTAAAGTTCATTTTCTAATATTATGGCGCATCTTAAATGGTTTGCATTAAAAGGACTGTAGTTGCCCTGACCAGTTTGACTCAGCCGTTAGAACATCAGCCTGAGCATCAGGCCTTGGGTTTGATTCCCAGTCAAGGGCATGAGCCTGGGTTGCGGGTTTGCTCTCTGACCCCAGGCAGGGTCGTGCAGGAGGCAACCAATCAATGTGCCTCTCTCACATGAATGGTTTTCTCTCTCTTTCTTTCTCTCCCTCCCTCCCTCCCTTTTACTTTATCTAAAAATCGATGAAAAAATATCCTCAGGTGAGGATTAACAACAATAACAAAAGGACTGTAGTTAAATAAATTTATAAGGAAATTCTTGAATTCAAGTACTATTCTAATAATTAAGGTTTAATCTGTATCTAAATATTTGAGATTCTTTCAATATTCATCTTCATGTTGAACTGTCCATCTTCAATCACTTTGCTTGTGTCTTTGGGGAACATTCTTAGGTATAGTTCTAAAATCCAATGTAAGAAATTCAGCTTTTAAACGATTGCCTAACAATTTTTAAAAAGAGAAAGCTATTTTATTTTGAAAAAGTTATTTAATGGAGAAATATACTTCATTCATAGAGCAATGAGGCCATACTATAAATTTCACAATTAAGCATTACTTTTGAATTCCACAATGGAACATTATGTAAATCAGAATTTACATAATTTTCATAATATACATTATATTTTATATAATTATTAAAATGATTTAAATGTAATATATTTATATAACATATATAATATGTAGTATAATTATATTAAAATGTTTATTATATAAAATAATTACATATGATTTTTATATAAAATGTGTTATTATCAAAATTACATAAATTTTTATGAAGGTGAAGGGGTTAGCTAGAGAGCATATATGCACAGCCCATGGACACAGAGAGCAGTAGGGTGAGGGCCAGGTGAGGGGAGCGGGGGTTGGGTGGAGATGGGCAAGGGGGAGATGGGGGACGTCTATAATAGTGTCATCAATAAAAAATGTATAAACTTAAATTTAATAATTATTCTGAGTACTTTAAACTTATATATTTAGTTTTATAGTGATACATAATTTTAATGAGCCTGACTTTCTAGTTTTCCACAGTACCACTTGTGCCTAGAAGACTTCATTGATATTATTCTAAAATAAGCATCATTGTTTATTATTCACACTAGGAGATTTATTGTGCAAATTTCTTATAGGAATTGTCGAGGAGTACCAGTTGCCTTATTATGACATGGTGCCTTCAGATCCCTCGATAGAGGAAATGAGGAAGGTTGTTTGTGACCAGAAGTTCCGACCAAGTATCCCAAACCAGTGGCAAAGCTGTGAAGTAAGGCTAAGTTCTTATGTATATTTTTCCTATTGTAATTTTGAGGTAAGTATCAGTGATGATTTCAGAGACCATATACTTCTCGTTTAATCTAGGCATCCAGTTCATTTTATATATGTAGGTATATGTCTTTGATTTTATTCCCTTTAGCTGTGTATATATATACATAATACTAAGTTATGGGGCAGTACCAAACCCTGCCATCCCAGTGACTTGACACACAGGTTGTATTTCTTGCTAAACAAAGTCTCCGACAGGTTAGGCAGCTTTCAACATCTGTGCTCCCTGTGGTGACTCAGTAATCCAGGTGACTTTGATCTTGGGATGCTGCTATCTCAACATATAGTTTTTAGGTCTAGATCAACAGAAAAGAGGAGCTGGAGGGTCACACACTGACTCTTTAATGCTTTGGCTCCAAGTGACTCATATTCCTTCCACTCATGGTTCACAGACTAGAAGCAGTCTCACTGTCCCATCTAGCGGCAAGGGACCAGGAACTGTGGGGAGCAAGGCGTATTGGGAGTCTATTACACAGAGCATTACAATTTCTTCCTTTTATTCCATAAATTCTTCCTAATCCCAAACCCTTCAGAAGCTTGAGTGTACCCTCTTTCCTCAGAAAAGCATCCTTTTCTGGCAGGAACTGCTTTTTATCTCCTCATCCCCAACCACACATGTAGTAACCATCACACAGGAGACACAATAAGTGGTTATTGCAATGCTGGTTCTGCCTTCCTGAAGAGAGAGACTTTTTCTAGCTGCCCTGAGGAGAAAGGAGGGGAGGTGGGGGGAGGACTATAAACCATCCAACAAATTCCATAACTATTTTAATGCTTTAGTCTCCCCCATCCCGTTTAGTACTATGTATCTTCTGTCATATTTAAATGTAATGCTTAAATTCTTTTTAAGCGACATCTTTTAGTTTGGCTTTGTCATAGGGATTATTTTATACAGTTGACTTTCCCTCATCTTTTCCCCTCCACCCTTCACTCAACTCTTTCTCTATTTAAGGCAAGATTTATGTCTCGGTATTTCTATTTTGTGTAGATAACTTACCTACATACTTACTTTAGAAGCAGAATTTGAGGCAGTTACAACCAAATTGAAATTAATTTTTCCTAATATTAATAACATCATGCATGCAAATCAATGATATATATGTAAAGTTTAAAGTGCAATCATAAAATGAAAAGCAGTGAATTCACTACCAAGTTTAAAAAATGGCCCTGGCCAGTTTGGCTCAGCGGTTACAGCGTCGGCCTGCAGTCCGGAGAGACCCGGGTTCGGTTCCCGCTAAGGGCACATACTTCGGTTGCAGTTTGTCCCCGGCCCTGGTTGGTCGTGCGGGTGGCAGCCACTCGATGTGTCCCTTCACATCGATGTTTCCCTCTCTCTCCCTTCCTCTCTCTCCCTCCCACTCTATCTGAACAAAAAATGGAAAAATATCCTCGGGTGAGGATTAAAAAATAAAATAAAAAATGGAACATTTCCACACCAATGTATGTCCTTGACCCGTCTGAGAGGTTCATAGTATAATTATTTATTTATTGTTGCCTTGCTTTTCTTTAGAATTTTTTCTAAAATACTAAATTTTTACATATATTTTTACATAGCTTACTTTTGTCTATTTGTGAAATTAATTAAACTCACTGTAGATTCTTCTTAAATATTTTTTATACTTTCTCTTTTTTAATTTTTTTTTTTTTTTTATCCTCACCCGAGGACATTTTTCCATTTTTTTTTTTTTTTATTCAGGTAGAGTGGGAGGGAGAGAGAGGAACAGAGAGAGAGAGAGAAACATCGATGTGAAAGGGACACATCGAGTGGCTGCCACCCGCACGACCAACCAGGGCCGGGGACAAACTGCAACCGAGGTACATGCCCTTAGCGGGAACTGAACCGGGGTCTCTCAGGACCGCAGGCCGACGCTCTAACCGCTGAGCCAAACCGGCCAGGGCTATACTTTCTCTTACATATGCTTATTAAATGTGCTCATTTCTATTTCTGTGTACTCTTTCATTGTATGAATGTAACACAATTTCTTTTTCTGCTGTAATGTTGATTATCTTTGTGATTTTTCATTTTTTTGAATAATGCTGCTATGTATGTGTGGCAAAGTATCTTTAAGGTACAGAACTACAGACGCCTTTGGAGTGGCCACATAGGTAATTATGTCTCCAAATAACGGAGTTCTGGGACCAGTTTTCACACCTTTTCCTTCTTTCTTACCGCACTTCCCAGGACTCCAGTATACTGTTGCTTGAAAGCGGTGATAGTGGATATCTGTTTTGCTCCTTGAAACTTTGTATTTTTCACATTTGAATATGGTGTTTGGTGCAGGGTTTGTTTTTTAAAACTTTATTTATAATAAATGAAAGCTAACTTGTATTTGATAAAAGGTTATATGAGGTGATTATATAGCATTTCTGCTTTAGTCTCTTAAAATATTTTTTTATTAAATCTGTTGGGGTGACATTGGTTAATAGGATTATATGGGTTTCAAGTGTGCATTTCTATGATACGAGATCTCTTTATTGCACTGTGTGCCCACCACCCAAAGTCAGACATCTTCTATCACCTTGTATTTGGCCCTCTCCACCTCCTACCATTGCTCCCCCCTTCTCTCTGGTGACCACCACACTGCTTTCTGTGTCCATGAGTTTCAGTTTTATGTCCCACATATGAGTGAAATCATATGGTTCTTAGCTTTTTCTGACTGACTTATTTTACTTAGCATCATATTCTCAAGGTCCATCCAAGTTGCTGCAAGTAACAGTATTTCATATTTTCTTATGGCTGAGTAGTATCTCATACTATATATGCACCACATCTTCTTTATCCAGTCCTCTACTGAAGGACACTTTGGTTGTCTCCCTGTCTTGGCCACACTGAATAATGCTGCAGTGAACATAGGGGTGCATCTATGTTTGTGAATACATGTTTTTGAGTTTTTCGGGTGGATACCCAGGAGAGGGATTGCTGGGTCATATGGTAACTCATTTCTGCTTTAGTATCTTCATGAAATAGATGAATTGCATTTATAGACTTCCCACTGTTAAAGCAATCATGTATTCCTAGAATAGATCTAACAGTCATTTTTATGTAATCAACTTTGTACATTACTGATATATACAATTTTTGTCTATTTTTGCCCGGTATTTTAGTTCTATCTTGTTGTGTATTAATCCTATTTATTAGATATTGGTGTGCTTTTATGCCATCATTGTTTGTTTATACTTATGAACTAAGATAATTTTCTGACTTCCTGGTGTGCATCCTTTGACTGTGTTTTATTTTTTTAGTGAGGATCTAGTGGCTGTAAGTTCTTTCAGCATTTGAGTGTCTGAGAATGTCTTTATTTTGTCCACAATCTTGAACAAGTAGTTTATCTAGGCATAAAAATTTAGGTTCAAAGTTGTTTTCTCTAAACACTTTAAAGGTATTATTTCACTGTCTCTAGCTTCCATTATTACTATTGAGAAGTGAGCTAATTTTTATCTCTTTTTAGTTCATTTTTTCTTTTCTTCCTGATTACGAACTTCTCTATGTTTTTAGTATTCTGCAGTTTCTCTATGATGTGTTTGGTGTAGATGTCTCTAGATTAATCTTGCTTGGGATTTTTGGACTCTCCTATTCTGAGGTTTTGTGACTTTCCTCAATTCTACATAATTCTGAGCCATTATCTTTTCAAATAATTTCTTCTCTCATTGTCTCTATTACTCATTTTTAGAGAACTCTTTAGATACATGTCAGACCTTTCATTTTCCTTTGCTTGTTTCTTATTCTCCCATTTTTCATATTTGTGTCTTTACACAGAAATTGTCACATTTATCCTCCAGTTCATTAATTCTGTCTTCAGATGTATCAAATTTGCCACTTAACTCATCTATTTAGTTTTTTATTCTAATGATTATACTATTTAAAAATTTTTTATTTTTTAAAATTGATATTGAAGAGAGGGGAAAGGAGAAAGAATGAGAGAGAGAGAGAGAGAGAGAGAGAGAGAGAGAGATATGAGTGAAACATGCCTCCTGCACATGCCACAACCTGGAATGGAACCAGAACCTAGGTTTGTGCCCTGACCGGGAATCAAACCCTCTATCCTTCAGTGTACAGCACAGTGGTCCAACCAACTGAGCCACACCAGCCAGGGCTTAATGATTATACCTTTTATGTCAAGAAGTTTTATTGGTACTTTTCTTTTTTATATATTCTCTTGTTTTATACTTACAGTTGGAATTTCCTCTTGCTTTTTAAAAAAATTATTTTGTATATTTATTTTAAATTTTATATCATTTAGTTCTAGCATCTAATGTTTTGATGGGTCGCATTTTACTGCTTCTTGTTTCAATTGACTCTTGCTTATGGTAATTTATTTCCTCATGTACTTGTGAATTTTCATTATGAGCTCAGGCTTACTGAAACATTTTAAGACTTGGGTTTGATTTTTTTAAAAAACAAGAGCTAAGATCTAAACACTTTTCTTTACAAAATTTCTTCTAAGACTGATTTATCCTTATATTCAGGACTTTGCAAGCATCTTGGTCCGACACCTTCTGGGTGTTTCAGGCTGTGTTTCCTGTATTTCACATGTGGGCATCTGCTCTGAAATTCTGCTCTGAGATCAGCTGGTGCCACCAGAGCAGCCACTTGACTTTAGTCCTTTTTTTATCTCCCTGGATTCATCCAAATTGTCTTCCCCTCCGAGTATTTATCTTATTTATTTACCAATTCACTTATACTGACTTTTTTAAAATTCAGAATTTTCAATATTTATATTTAGATCATTATTTTATTGTAGCGTAATTTACATATACACAAATCTGGATATACAATTTGATGAATTTTTAAAAATGTATGCATGTGTGTACTTACCATCCAGATCAATATATGGTGAATTTCCAACCCATCCTACTTCCCTTTTTGCCTTTCAAGTCCCTTCTTAGAATATTTTGAACAATAGCCATTCTACCATATTCCCAGGAATCAATGTATGAATTTTCAATTAAAGTTTGCCTCTATAAGGTTACTATATGTATGTGTGGTTGACAGGATTTTTGAAGGGGTTTGGTCCTCATCTCCTTCTCATGTTGTCTTTTATTTACAATTTGTTCATCAGAGCTTAGCATCAATTTTGGGGTTTGTGGTTTTGCTTCTCCTGTACTGTGTTTTGTGTGAATAAAGTTTTTGATATTTGTCTCTCTTAAAGGCACTCCGAGTCATGGGGAGAATAATGCGTGAGTGTTGGTACGCGAATGGGGCAGCCCGCCTAACTGCCCTTCGTATTAAGAAGACTATTTCTCAACTTTGTGTCAAAGAAGACTGCAAAGCCTAATGATGATAATCATGTTAAAAAGAAATCTCTCACAGTTTTCTTTCTCATTTCTCCTCTTTCCATGAATGTTTTTGCCTTTTTTGTTTTTGTTGTTGTCTACCTCAGAGATAATGCTGTACAGTATTTAAGTGTGCAAAGGCAGCATGGAAAAATAACTCTAAAATCAAACAGGAGTTGACTTTGTCCAATCTTCATGTTGTCTTTAATTTTATTAGAAAAGCAACACATCAACTGATGTATTTAATAATAAAGATATTGTCAAGGTGTAAAATAAGCTATATAAAATGATAAGCATTATTAAGGTTTTATTTTACTTGAATCAAGAGCATATGAATGACTGGGGAAAAGTGTGTTAAAAAAAGTATGTTATATCTAACCAAAACTATATATCATTCCATCTATGGTGTTCTCTATTTTTTTAATTAAGCAAGATCTTTTTGAAAAAGTAAATCTTGCTTCGAATCTTAGTATATAAAAGATGAAAAAGTGGAACTGCCCAGTTGGAAGATGGAAGTGAGGTCCAGGTCCCAGTTACTTGGCCCCCACCCCTACCCCTACCTTTCCCTACTCTTCATAATCCATCACCACGGCATTCCCACCCCCAAGCAAACAGTTTGAAAGCCACTAAATTTGTTATTTCCTCTCATTTACAAATGAGATACCTGATATCTGGCGACATGGAGAAATGTCTCAAAGACGCACCACCAGAGGTAGAGCTGGTTCTAGATCTGAGCCCTGTGACAATCCACACTGTAGAGTTAGTGGTACTGTTAGTTCTGACAGTACTTTTCTCCCTGTGCCAAAACATCTTTCATGATGATATCTGTGGTTTAGTAAAACAGAAGACAAAATGAGTTATTTTTACAGACTCCTTTTTTTTTTTTTTTTTATCCTCACCCGAGGATATTTTTCCATTTTTTGTACAGATAGAATGGGAGGGGGAGAGAGGAAGGGAGAGAGAGTGAGAAACATCGATGTGAAGGGACACATCGAGTGGCTGCCACCCACACGACCAACCAGGGCCGGGGACAAACTGCAACCGAAGTACGTGCCCTTAGCGGGAACCGAACCCGGGTCTCTCCGGACCGCAGGCCGACGCTCTAACCGCTGAGCCAAACTGGCCAGGGCTACAGACTCATAATGGACCTGCATAAACTCTTAGGACAATATCCATTAACGTTTTCTGCATCAAAATTTCATAGTCACCCTATTTGTTAGAGAAGTATTAATGTTTTCTAAAAACTCCCAGAGATTAATGAAGTATAAGGATCCATTGTCAGAAGATGTCTTTAAGTCGCATTTCAGAGATCCCTATTACTTTTGTGCATACACATTTAGAAAGAACAGAAAGTGAAGAAAACGAGAACATACCTTGAGAGAAATTACAAAAACTCTTAAAGTATAACAACCACATTCTATAAAGGGTAGCAGTAACCGTAAGTAGATATGTTCCCACCCTTTCCAAACAAGTGAGTGGGCGTGGAAGAGGCTCCTGATAATGTTGTCTTATTCTACTTCCTGTGGAGACAGAAGTGATGAACTCTGAATAATGCATAGAACATCACCCATTTCCTACAAATCGACAATTCTTCATTGGTGAAGGAATTTAACATAGTCTCTTTTATTGTTCTAAAATATTATTTTCTAAACTCTGTTCCTTAGAACACTCTCCTACTGAGATGATGCAAGGCCAAAAGGATTCTTTGATAGATTCCTAGAAGGTGATGCCACACATTAGTGTATCGTGTGCTTTGAGGAGTCTAGCAGTAAAGATATGTTACTTGGACTTCTTTAGACTGAATTTCCCAAATTATTTGACCATGAAACTCTTTTATTAAGACGAGGGACGACTTTTTACTATCCCACACTTTAATGTTCTGAAGGGTATACGTATATATTTTCACAAAGACCGTAATGCAGTGCTTATAATTTATTTCTCTGTGGAAATATGTTACTGAACCATATTCATTACACTGGGATGAGATACCAAAGGCAAAAAAGTGACAGCTGTGGTTTGTTTATACTTTCACTCTTGTCCATTCTATAAATAATGTGGGGCATCCCATATCCCCCTTGCCACCGTATTGAGCCCAATAGGGAAATTAAAAGATAAATAGGTTCTGCCCACAGGGATTTGAAACTCTAATTTGACTGGGAACAGGGATGTAGGTATGTGGGGAGAGAAAGCAAATTGACGAATACATATATCACAAAGTAGATGTTTTGAGTTCTATGTGACAAATTGCTTTCAATTTGCCGCACATTCAGAAAGTATCTTTGTTTGGCTATTCCAGACAATCTAAGTCATATGTGAACTTTTAAAAAGTGCTTATGTGAAGGATTTTTTTAAAAAGCTTTTGTGAAGGGAGTCATCCTGCTCATGCTTGTTGTCTTCATTTCTCATAGATTGTTTCTGCATGTATGAGAATGAAATTATTTATTTACTATGGTTGTACTATAGTTTCAAGTAAACAAAAATAATATTTCCTGTTTTATTCATTATGTGGGGTGAATGTACTTAATTTTTAAGAAAGCATGTTTTAACCTCTTTGTTTTCCTTGTTATTATGTTTATAATATTTGTTTATTTGAGTGTGTCCAAGTATAATTTTTTATGGTTCAATTTTTAATCCAGAGAAATCTGTACATTTTGAGATATTTTTTCTTGTTTTTTAGTTGGATAGATATAAGTCTTAACTGAATAGTCTTATGTTTCAATTATCAAGTACATTATTTTTAGGAAAGGCGGTAGATTAACAAAAATGATTAGAAAGAGTCAAAAGTTCTAATTTTTCTTAACTTTCAAAATTATCAACAGAAAGTGCTCACTTACAAAGATAGGATCAAGTTTAGAGCATTAAGGTAAAACTCACTGTATATATCTATGCTGTAAAACTTCGTATTATTTGTTTTTGATGAAATCTTATTGTATAATATTTATTTCTTTTGAATTGTGTTAAAAAGAAAAAATATTGTTCTTGGCCTCAACGTGTCAGTGTTCTTTGCTCCTTTCAAATATTTTGTTTGGGTAGAATATAAAGCTTGGGAAAATGCTACTTATGAAATTTCAGTACTGTATGAAGTAGTGATGGAATATATATGCAGTGTCACTTCCTTAAAATAAGGAAAACATTTGTTGACAATTATTTCAGCATGAACTTTTTCCTTATAATGTATGTGTGTAATTGGTATAGATTCTGTCGTGTGATTTCTTCTATGTCTAAAATATTTGGCATGTCACATCTACAATCTTAATTTACGCTCTTACTTGAAAGTTAAGTGAAATATGACTGTCGTACACTATTTTAGATGTAGCACTTGCTTTTCATCTTATCCTTTCAATTAACTTTGCATTTTAAGTTCCGTGATTGTATGAAAATAGTATCCTATTGCAGTGTCTGAAGACTTAAAAATCAGCTTTTATTTAAAAACAAAGATCTGTAATAGCTTCATGAGAAGTTCCATAATAATTTAGTATTACATTTACTTTAGTAGAATTAGAAAAGAAAACTACTGCTATGCTGTAATGTTGCCACCACGTGACTTATTGGGGCAGAGAGAGCTCAGGGCTGCCTTAGAGTTTACGCAAAAGGACCAGGGCACCTACCAGCAAATCATCTGAGAGCAGGGACCCCACATTTGCCATTATACAAAGTTCAATGCAAAATGTCTTGGCCAGAAATAATTTTTGATTAATTATTTAAAATAAATATGGAAATGTATTTTGTTTAAGTAAACTTATTTAAAGTATGGACATTTTATTTTTCATCAAGAAGTTAAGAAAGAGCAGCAAATGAATACTGTTCATGGCAGCTGATGTCTTCAAGAATCATTCCTTTAAATAAATTTACAAATACAACATTTTAAGTTACTTGGAAATGTGTAAGACTTAGTGTCTTAAAATGCCATTGCTGTGATCTTTGAAGATATTCTAAATATCATTTCTTTTATGAAACATATTACTTCTGTGTTTGGTAATGCTTTGTATTAGCTCCCTCCATGAACTGCCTATTGTGGACTTCGTGCACTACTTAGTGAAGAGACTAATCTTTTGCTCCTGAGGGCTTCTTCTAAACAGAAAAAAACAAAAAACAAAACAAAAAAAAATCTGTTGAAAAATAAGAAAATTTATCAAAGTGTTAAGGTTAAAAATCTTCTATAATACAGGCAGTTTTTCCAAAACATTTCAATGCAAATTTTCAGATGTTTGACTTTTTTTTCCCCCTCTAGGTTTTCTTTTATGTTTCATTATTTTTCTCACCTCCTTTTCCCTCACTGTCTTCCAAAATTATCTTTAGTCCCTAATTTTAAAAAATGACTAGTTACTATTTAATTTAATTATCCTAACACTTAGCCTTCTAACAATGGAGAATCTCTTGGTAGTCAAATTATTTCTGATGTGTCACAGACAAAAACAAAACCAGATCTTGGGAATTGTAAAGGATGTAAGAGATTTTATAATTCAATTCCCATATTTATAGATGAAGAAACCGGAGATCAGGGATTAAATGTTTGCTAGTGATTAGCAGAACTGACATGAGAATCCAGTGGGGACAACCACCACGGTGCCCTACTATATTCAACATTTTCTAATTAAAAATAATTAACAGGCATCGAACCCTGCCTTGAATGTATACTATCTGATGTGCAATTTAACAGTGATGATCAAATCCTACTCTTTATTTCTGCTGAAGTAATTTGCTCACTCATGGTGAGGTCAGTGAGAAAAACTAAAATAGGCTAAAGAAGAGTTTTAAATAGCTAGGTAGAGCTGAATAAATTTTAGGAATTGTGAGAACGTGGAATTTCTTAGTGCGAGTAATGATAAGAAATGCTTCATGCCCTTTCCCTCTCCTTTCTCTAGGATTGTGGTTTCTCTTCATGCTTTGGATTGGGAGTGAAAGATGATTTGGTAGTTGAACTTGTGACCATGTCTAATACATATTATCTTCTCTCCTTGTCTCTCATTAGTTTCTCTTTGGAACTCATTTTTTATTACATTAAAACATAATATTTCCTCAATTCTAAACACTCTGTAATAATTCCTGTTCTTCTAGTGTCCCAGCCCCTGTCAGATTGCTATACACCGAACCTCTTAATAAGATTTTAATTTCTCATACCCCCACTTGAGAGGTGGCATCTCATGCTCCCTCTAGTAATTTTTCACTCGGCATGATGCAGCAG